ACTTGGGGCCAGGACAATAGTTAGACATGGAACAATTTGCATGAGCTTTTTTTCCTTTAGTTTTCTTGTGTCTATCTATATAACATAGGCAGGATAATCAATCCCAAGGAGAAGGCAATGGGACTGAAGGGGAGGGGGACATGGGAGAGAAGAAGGCGAGAGGAAGGGAGCAATAAGCCAATAACGACAGGGACAAGGGAACAGCAAGGGATCTAAAGCAATGGTGAGGAGGGGACAGCATTCCTGGTCATGTTTGATCAATTGAAATGTATCCAAGAGACATTACTGAGAGGCAAATGATGGGTAAATATGATAGTGTGGCAGGAGGAACGAGAAAAAGAAAGGAAAAATTTTATGTATATATATATACACACACACATATGTACAAATATAGATACGTATATATGTAAGAATATAAAGATAGGTGTATTTATTTATGTAAATACATATAGATATGTAAATACAACAGAGAAGCAGCTGGACTTTGAGCTTCTACTTTAATCTTACCTCAGTACAAGTTTGTTCTAGTAATGTGGCACACTGTACGATACTCACATTCCCCACACAATCCCTGAAGATAAAATGGTTGCATAAGCAAGTGTGATGAAGAAAGCTGATGGTGCCGGCTATTAAAAGATATAGTTTCTGGAGTCCTAAAAGCTTAAAGTTAAACATGCAGCCATCTCGCAGGAAAGCAACAAAGTCCACATGGAAGAAGCACACCAGGCTGTGTGATCACGAGGTGTCGGTGGGAATAGGTATCAGAAGTTCAAAAACAAGCAACCAAATTGACATGAAGAAGCATAGATAAAGTTGAACCCCCAAACCACCTGTAAGATAACTGGGCAGTCTCTCACAGAAGGGTCAGATAGAAGGGATGATATATCCACGGTGCAATATAGCACTGTTGAAACACATAATTATCGTCTAGTTCTTTAATATTTCCTCCCTTTACTATTATGGCCTTAGTTTTACCTCATGAATCCTATTAGACCTGCATATGTTCATGTGTACAATTAAGATCATTGGATGTATGAAATCCAAGACAGATGTGGTAGTTACATAATCTGTTGTCAATTTGAGATGATTAAGAGTGAAGGGGTGGAGGTTAGCCTGTCCATCAGGTCGCAGCTTGATGACCTCATTTGGAGGTGCTAGGAGATAAATAGCTCGCTTTAGGTGGGACAGACACTCACTTCCTGAGAGACATTGCAGCTGACAAGACACATGAAACTACCGTAGTGTTCTAAGCTAGAGAAGCTGAGAAGCTTACACCATTATTGGATCCACAAGACTTTCCACCCAATAGCCTGTGATCTTCCTGTATTCAGCATCATTGCATGTGTTTCATGAGTCTGAAGAGGACTTTATATATTGGACATATGGTCTAATATTGGACTTATGGACTTGATCTGAACTGGGCTGGGATGTTTTCTCAATATTCAATTGCTCTTGTATGTAAACCTCTTTCTTATACACATATGAGTGTCTCTGAATTTGTTTCTCTAGTCTACCCCGACTAACACAATAGATAAACCCTTCAGAATTAGTAATGGGAGTAATGATTCCCAGGGGGTATGGGAAGAGAGGGGGAGGGGAAGGGTAAAGGGGGAACGGATAGCAATGATGATTATATAACCCCACTCGAGGAGAATGAGTAACAGAATGACAGGTGAACAGACACATTGGACAGTGTAAGATATGGAGGGTGTGGGGGATAGCAATAATAATACTTAATATAACAACAAGGGTTCTTGGGGGGAGGGGAGGGGAGGGCAGGAATAAAGGGGAGCTGATACCAAAGAGTGCAAGAAGAAAAAGTTTTGAAAATGATGGTGGCAACAGTTGTACAATCATGCTTGATCTAATTGAATTAGGATTGTTATAATGTCTGTAGAACTCCCAATAAAATGGAAAATAAATAAATAAGTAATGAACCAAGAACTGGGCATATGTTATCTAAGCAGTTTTATTCCCCCCCACCCCACCCGCTTTCCCCCCTTTTCTTCCTCCCTCTAGGCAATTTTATAAACTACCTTTTTGCATATGGCTTTTAGCTTGAAACCTTACACCATTACCATTTCCTGTATCATTAAAAATTATTTTTGGAAAAGAAAAAGTTCGTCTTGGAATTCCATCGAGGGCAGTTCTACCTTATCCTATAGGGTTGCTGTAGGGTCACTCTGCGTCAGAATCAATGCAATGGCTGTGGATTAATTGGCAAAGGTTCCCCACCCCCTGCCAATGGTGGGGTTCTCGCTGCTTTCATCGGTAGTTTCTTTATCCAAGAGAAGGAAGACCTTTTGGTAGTGCTAGTTTCGGTGGGCCTCACTTTCCAGTAGGGTCCAGTCTGCTGTGGCAGGAGGTAGGTGCCAGTGTTCCTTGGAACAAACACCCGGGTCTCAGTGTTTGTCTAAGACAGGGACGGGGACCTGTGGGTGGTCTTTGTACTGCACAGGGTGACCTTTTCGGGTGAGAGGCCAGAAAGCCAACTGGCAAGGAACACAAAGGGACCTGCTGAGGTGACAGCAACATCTACACCTTGATCTGAGGGGTCGCTACTCTGGTGTTTCCATATGTCAGCCTCCATTCCGCCGTCCTCATGGGATGAAGGCACTTTAGGGACTTGATTGGACGTATATTGATCGCACTCGCTGGGATCAAGTCCATCTGATTCAGGGACCCTGAAGGGCAGAGGGGAACTGCCTCTGCTCCTTTCCAAGACTGTAAGTCTTTTTTAAAATTTTATTTTTTAAAAATAATTTTATTGAGGGCTCTTACAGCTCTTACAACAATCTGTACATCGATTGGAACAAGCACATTTGTGCTTATGTTGCCATCATTATTTTCTAGACATTTACTTTCTATTGAGCCCTTGGTGTCAGCTCTTTTTTCCCGTCCCCTTCTCCCCACCCTCATGGCCCCTTAATAAATCATAAATTATTATTATTTTCATATCTTACACCAACCGTTGTCTCCCCCC